GTGTTCGAAAAAAAGTGCATTATTTTCCCTTAAACTGTGGTTTGCACAGGAAAATAATGTACTTCCATTTCTCACACAGGCAACTAATGGATTTAGCAGAATTCATAAATAAAAGATACGAACATATTCTCCAGCAGTGTCTAGCTACACTGCACTCTAATGCACTTTGTCAACAGTCTTATTTAACTCTCCTCCATTTTTCTTATTGTCTCCATCAACGATGGCATTTACTGACACCTCCTTAAAGTATAATCGGTGCAACTGACTCATCTAACAGGTTAAAGAAGCAGAAACTGAACATACTACTTAATAGCTACTTTCGTGATGCAAAGATTTTTCCAGGATGAAGTTTGCTACGTACACAGAAGGCTGCAACCATAAGCAAGGCAGAGTCTTTTGGGGCCTCTGTTCCCCACTTGTATGCCATGAGTGAAATCCCTCACCTAAGTCTCAGGATGTGTTTCCAAGGTTTGTTTTTTTTTGGTTTGTTTTTTTTTTTTTTTCCAGCAGGAGTCCAACTACCATTAGTCTTCCCTTCTGAACAATGGGCATCCCGAATTCCCAGGCAATTCTATATGGTACTACCTTTAACAAGCATCTATTTCCAGCTATGGTAAACTCGGGGAGCACCAAGTCCTACGGACTGCTGTACTCTATTACACACTACCAGTTCCAATTCTGGATCTACTGAGGCAGAGATCTAAAATAAAATAAAACGTTTAACACCTTGAGGAACTGCACAAGGGAGCAGCTGTCCCATGCCTACATAAACATTTGGAATAACTAGGGATGGTGGAAGTATTTTGAGTGCATCTCATTTAGAGAAATGCCATTTCTCTTGAGTTATCTCGGCTTCCACTTCCCATCACCAAATACAAACTAGATCTATAGATAGAGATGAAATAGTTCTGCAGTTAATGCTAGAAACTATTAATGGCAAGCCCACCATGTGACCAGAGAACATGCCTGTACAAAGACTCTGTATACGGAAAACCAACGTGCAGCTGGAAAATGTCCTCAATGTGCGTGCCTTGATGTGTTCAAAACAATGACAGATTTTCCTCTTAAAACCACACACAATTCTGAAGTGCGCAGCTGTTCACAGAAATAATAAAAAAAAACCCACCCCGGAGCCAGTAGCTCTTCTGCAGTGTTACAGGTAGGGTGCAGGTAGGGTATTCCAGGTGCCTGTGTATCAAAGGCTCAACATCCACAGTCCAAATCTTTAACATACAAAATCTAACAGGATAAGTTATAGGACCACTGTTTCTAAAAGATTACTTTATGTAATTTTTACTTTAGTTGATGTATATACTCAGATGCCAGAAAAGGAACCAAATGAGGTTTTATCTACAACACACAAGTAAGTGCTTTTCACTGACGTTTGGCATGTTTTTAAGTTGGACATACAGCTGTTATGCCGGAGCCTTAAGGTGGTTTTACTGCTGGACAGCCTGCAATAAATTCATAACCCACTCCCCCATTATATACCATAGTTGCACAATGCCAGTTATGAAACAAAACTTGTTCCATGACTAACAGGTAAACTTATTTTAAAAGAAAATCCCTGCTGCAGAAGGTAAAAAAAAAAAAATCCAATCTGTTTTGAGAGATGTTCCAACAGGTACTTCGGCATACTGACTATCATTTTACCTGTTTCAGGAACAAATAGTATTGAACCAAGATACCATACTGAAGTGTTTTAAGGTATTAAAACGTACCAGACATGTCCTCCAGAACTGCATGGAGATAGATAAAAAAAATGTTCTGTTATCTTTGCAGCACGCAAATCTTTGTTCATGTTCAATTTTGGAGTTACCTGTTTACCAACAACTAAAATTCACTTCATAATTTACAAACACTAAAGCATTACCTAGAAAAAGAACAACGTATGCCTGCTTCTGTGCTTGTACAAATACATTAACGTTGCTTAGCTCTTTAAGTGAATACTGGATTCCTAATCAACAGCAAAAGTCCAGAGTAATTACATTAAATCAGAGTAACTATACCAGCTTATACCACCTGACTTGGTGTAAGGTAAACACCTCGGGAACACCCAAGAAGAAAAATGTGAGGGATTTTCCTCTTGCCCATTTCCTATAGTTTTATTTAAATGTAATTTATAAAGTCTGACAACGTGTTCATATCTGAATTGAAAAAAAGACTACAGTCTCCCTCCCACCTATCAAAAACAACATTTCCCTTAGGTTTGTTCTCAAACAAGGTCTACTAAACCCAGTGAAAGCCTTTCAGAAAGGAAAGGCTGCTAAATAAATACTGTGAAAACACTGAGACTTTCCAATACAAAAGGAAAACCATAAGGTCTGTCTTGACTTTTAATGGCAGACAAACTTTGCTGCAGGCTCTTTTATTTTAAGATGACAGATTTCTGAGAAGGGTGGGGACCAGTTGGGATGAGAGAGAGACTGCAGCCAATTTTAAAAGGTATTGTTAAGAAACTAAGAATAAGGAGAAAACAACTTCAGTGGTCCATGATTACTAAAGAACAGGTTTAGCCAGATAAACAGGTTTGCTATCCCTGAAGGGATTTGAAAGAATATCACACACAACTTTATTAAAATGGATTACGTGACACTTGCTTTAGACTTTGAAGGTAAAAGCTTCACAAAAGTACTTTAAAAAAAAAAAAAAAAAATCAAAGCTTAATGGTGCTGTATGAATTCAGAGTTCTGGGGGATGGGACACACAGAGGCACACACCCAAATTTAGCCCTCGGCATCAAGCCCTTCTCTTTGGAGATCAATAGCGAGATTCCCCTCCACTTCTGCGGAAGCTGTGCAATTTCACAGGTCTCCCTGAGTTTGCACTCATTTACTTTAACATTTAATTGATTTACGGTACTGGGTTAAGTCAGAGATCTTGCTGTTTTGTTGAAATACACATTTCAACATTTCATGTTAAGGCAGAGATCAGAATCAGTGCTGGAAATCTCAAGTATTAAGTGAATATTCAAGATAGTTAAACTAATGCAAACTCTGAAATAATGCAGGTAACAGGATACAGACTCACATTCTTGCATGTAATGCACGCTTTAGACAGTTTATCTCTTCATTCACCTCCCCAGAAGACCCTTTGTATTACAGACCTGCTTAAGTTCACTAGATTTTTATCTATAACAACATTCTTGTTTCCATGAATACATCAGCTCCTCTGACCTTTGCACATTTAGCCACTTTTCTAAGGTCAAATATCTATAGCTAAAAAAAGTGAAGACAACAGTAAACATTAATAACCCTAAGCAATATGTATTAGCTATGTGGGATTTATTTCTATGCACACAAATATTAACTTTAGAAACCCTGAAGTCATTACTACTCAAGGTACAAAAAAGATAAAATCTTTATTTAAAAAAGAAAAGCGTATGTTTCAAACACTGACTATGTAGTGTTCCATTTTAGACCAAAGCCTTGCTTTTATCTCTCTTCCTACTATACAATAGCGAAAGGGATATTTATTAGAGTAAAGGGATTATACTCTCTGACATTATTCATATTTATAGCCTCATGAAAATATTCCTTTCTTACTAAGTTCACTGCTAATGAGTGATTATATATATCAAAAGTATTTTTACCAGTGTTCTTGTTTAGTCTATTACTAATGCAAAGCAATAATCTTTGTACGGTTGCTTTTAATTTTTTTTCTGCGACTGCAACACAGATAACTCTTTCATTTATCAAAACAAAATTTCCATAGTAACATTTAGCCTGGAGATACTCAATTTCTTTACAATAATCCAACGATCCATTCAAAATAGCTGCTGAATAGAAGGCCTTGTTTCCATAGAGACAGTGAAACATTTTGTTAGATCATAGCTCATGCTAAGTTTTGTTTTGACTTTTGGTTTAAACCTAGGTGAAACCCCATCACTTGAACGGCACAGCCGTAGCGCTGACAGCCTGCTTCAATAAGCAAGTTGCTTGAACTGTGACTTGTGTTTTGCTCTGAATTGATGTCCACGCACAAAAGAGCTGGGATTCACACTCAAGTTTTAAAAACAAGAGTTGCGGCCCTCTCGTTTTATTTCTTTGCTAAAGCAGTCGTGTGCTTTTCACTGAGGTAGCACGAGCAGTTCTGTATTAAGATCCCAGCAAAGAACTCTCCTAAATAGTTTCAGGCGTGCTGTTGGCGAGCTACATTTTTCTCCCTGTCTCCTTCTCTCCTCCTTCTCCCTGCCTCAGCAGGTGAACACTTAGGAAGAGCACCTAGGGCGGCTCCACCTCCCAGCTGCTGTCCTCAGCGTGCAGGGTTCCTGCGCCCACGCACGAGCACCACTGTCCCCAGCTCCGCTCCACACAGGCCCATGAACGGGGACTGCCTCTGTAGCTGCAGGCAGAATTTCATCAAGGTACAAAAAACAAGCGTGATGCACTGACACTTTTCATTTCCTCCATTTTGACATCATTCACTGACAAAGAACTGAAATTATGCCTTTAAAAAAAAAAAAAAAAGTAGAAACACTTCTCTTAAAAAAAAAAAAAAGCACACTTAAGATTAAGGACAAAGCAA